TTTCGAAAGTGACCATATTTATTAGTCAATAAGCAAAGGTACTAACAAGTGCAATGAATAATCAAAGCAAAATTACAGAAATCAATCACAATGATTATGGATAAAAATCAACTAAGTTTCATGTTAACAGAACAATCTGTTAACCAGTTGTGGAGATCCTAATAGTTTACTTCTTTTTAAAATTAAGACACTTAAAGATAATAAAAACATGATAATTCAACCAACCAGCTCAGAGAACACAACTCCTTCAATAGTTAATTAATACAATGGTTTGATTAATTAGTCGAAACTGGTATGTGTCATGTCCAATACTTAGTTCTGAATGAATGCTGTTAGTTGCCATTTTGTTATATGACGATTAATTCAATTGACTCGTGATTTCAACTAATGAAATTACTATAATATTCACAAACCCTCTTCTGATATTATTCAGCATGTGCTCACTAATAACTTGCTTCAAGAGGTATTTCCTGGAGTTCTTGTAAGAAGCAGTGACCAGTGGATTTCAACCTGGTCTGTTGTGAGATAGTAACTCACTGATGACAATGGTGGATGTGTCACTCAATTTCACGGATTAGTTGAAGTTAGACATTAATACTGTTGGAAGTCGACTGTTTCAGTGGTCTATTGGTTAAGTGTTCGTGCGCGACATTGATATGTCCTGAGTTCGAATTTCGCGAGACGGGGTCGTGGATGCACACTGCCGAGGAGTGCCACAATATGACGAAACGGCCATCCAGTGCTATCAGGTTTCCAATGTTGCTCTAACTACAATTGACTCGTGATCTCAACTAATGAGATTAATTTAATGTAAATTTCCTGATATTTATTCACACTCGTACTTATCTCTGTTTATATCATCTATATATAACTTATCTATTAGTTTCACTAACTCTTTACTTTGCATCAAGCAAAAGTTTCTAAACATGATGAACATGGTGTATTGTGTAAATTTTTTATTGAAGATTCATGAGAATGTCATTTATAAGTTCCAGAAATATTTCAAGTTTAATATGACTGAAATTCCAAACTTAACCCATCGACAATATTGAATCGAAGTAATTACTTTAAATTTGATAAAGCAGTTGGATATTAATTAAATTGTTACTATTTTTATAGTTTGTAGAATTTTCATTAAATTACATTATGTCTGATCTAATGTACTTATTATCAGATCACATGTATATTTACAAACTTAATAACATATATATTGAAATGTAAATAATGGTATTTCTTTATAGGCTAGTTTATTTGTTATTTATAGTTATTATTGTATAGGTAAAGATGGATAGGGTCTAGCAGTGGAATCCAGGACTTGTGTTTCATTCTATTTGGGACTCATCAGCTGGATGTACCTGTATCCCAGAATGGATGCTCATTCTGGAACTCGATCCATTATATATCTTTGCTTAAAAAGCTTGTGACTTAAAGGTATATTGAGGCAATCCGCACAGCATGTAAATATGCCAACCAGAAACGGATCAATCGCAGTCTTAAATAACAATGGGAAGATATAAGTAAAACAACACCAAATGAGTTTTACTGTATGCGTTGTTGTTAAACCCTTATTTTCTAAAAAAAAAACTGTTAATTAATTCTATGCAATTAAAAAGTAACAAGAAAGTAGATTGTAGTCTACATATTATTATTATTAAGTTGTCTAATGTTCCATTCTAATATAATCATTTATGAATTTAATTAAATTCTATGTTGGACTCAGTGACAGATATATTTCTGTCTACCCCTATATATATATATATATATATATATATATATATATATATATATATATATATATATATATATATATATATCAATTAGAAACGATGTGGAGATTTAAACAGATCATGAACAGTTTTGAATATAGATTGACACTATTAAGCAAAAAAATTCATTGAACACTAATCAGCAAGAGACCTTTTCATTTTCACTTAGTAATTAGAATTTTTTTTATATCGTTGACCAATCACCCTCGTAACCGTTATCATATAACCCTCAACGGTGTTTGAAATCAGAAGTCAAAGAGAACCAGCGAGTACAGGTTTATTAGCAGATAACTCAGACCACAAAGCAGTGAGGCGAATGGATGAGTCAGCGAACCGAGAATGTAGAGTGTGTAGAGTGTAAATGTACATGTATATATATATAGGGAAATGAATGGATCATCGAATCAGTTTAGCAGCTAATAATAAAGCTAGTAGATTGAATATGTGCGTAGGCGGTAAGCAATGTTCAAGCATACATATTTTATACAATCACAACAATAATAACGGTACAATAAGTTGTTATAGTACGGATGACTTTGTCCACTAAATAAGTTAACAAAAGGGCTTTACCGAATTAAATGAAAACAAACTCAATTGCATGTGAGTTGCTATATAGACATTATAATTTTATTATTATTCTGTTTCAAGTAATTAAACAACTATTACGCGTTGGAGATTGGGAAATATTTTATGTTCTGAAGTCTGTAGTTTCTATCAGATAGTATCAGTTAACAATGAGATCTACGTGTTGTCTTTGATACTATTTACTTTGTAAAGTTTACAATTATGTCTGTTTATCAGCATAAATAAGAATTGCAAAAAAGGGTATGCTATCATGATTAGGAATTCAGTTTTGGTCACACACATTTCAATGAAGCGGAAGTGCTTACCATACATATATATATTTCTTAAATTAATAAACTATGGATATCACGGGAACAGAAATAATAATAACTGACATAAAGCAAACAGTTCTTTTATTCCATCAATATCTATTATGACTATGTGCACATACAGAATAAAACAAACGGAAATGGATATAAAAACATTCTTTTGTGATATAAAGTACATAAATAATTTACTATTAACATAGGAAATACTTAACCCAGGTGGTCCTATAAGCTTAATCATAAATGAATTGATATGAATATGGAAAATGAATAATGTCTTTTGTATTTTAATGTCTTATTTCTGTGACCAATGTAGCTAATCCGTGTCGGGTAGAGACAGGTATCTACCTCAGTACAATGGAAGTTGGTCGCGCGATTTCATGTATTAGTTGAAGTTAGACATAAGTATCACTGGGAGCGGGCTCAGTGGTCCAGTAGGTCAAGCGTTCGCGCGCGAAACCGGTGGGCGGGATTGTGGAGGCGAACTGCTGACGAGTCCCACAATAGGACGAAACGGCCGTCGAATGCCTCAAGGTTTTCAATGGTGGTTTAACATCAATCGGTTCATGATTTTAATCCAAAAATATCTTTCTACTTAGTCAAACTATTGTATGAGTATAACAAAACTTACGAATTATTCATATCATTTTGAGTCATTAGTTTGGGTAACGATGAAGGGTAAATGGAGATGTTGAAAGAAAATTGTTCAGCGGTTATATTACTATGTATTCATAGCGACGTTTAGTGTAAGGTATCTTTGGTGACATAAAAGAAGAAAAAATGGATCAATGAGCAGACTTTTTTTACAGTGAATCCATTCTCAAAGCTGCACAAATACATGATATGGCAATCAATAAAACATTTATTTCCATTTGGTATATTACCTAGTACTTATCACTATTCTCCACCATTCTTTCCTGGGATTTTGAGAAAAATATTTTGCTATATTGCGAAGAGCGCTGAAGGTACTTTCTAAGTTGTGTGGTTAATCTTTAGATATCATTATGAACACAGTTATAGATAGACATCTGAAATCTTGCAAAGCTTTGGCAGATATTATCTTATCTCATACTAACTGTCCATTCAATTGACACCTTTCTTCTAGTAGAGCGAGACGCAGACATATTGAAATCCATGCATCCTGCCAAAAGTACAAAAGCTTTATAACACCGTATGAAGTAAATATACTATGTAATGAACAGGTTTAAGCAGTGACCTAATCGGAGAATTATATTCTTGAAGATGATGTTCAATGAAATTTGTGTAGAATCTTATCTTCTTAAAAATATTTTATTTAGTTCTACATAATTTATTTACTAATTTGATGCGTAGATGAAGAGGAACTTTCCGAAGTATTGTATGCTGAGAACTCCATATTATACAAAAGATATTATTATTATCACTTAATCCAAACACATTAACAAAGGGGTACTGTAAAAAAGCATTAAAATATCTGATGCTTACTATTACACTAGAAATTCAGTTGTTAAGTTGTTAGAAATCACTAAAGAATCCTATAATATTCGATAACCCTAGTTAGTTGTGAAGTGCCTTGAACAAGATAATAAAGTAAATCATTTATGCATATGAAGTACAATAAAGAACGCAGCTCACTACATTTGATACGTTTCTATTAATCTGGTAGATGACTCAGCATAATGAATCTGTGTCGATCGAAGAGTCTGTATTCACAAACTTTTATATTATTAACCCCCTTATGGATCTAACTTACCGTTATCTGAAACATTATGGTTAAAGCTATTGAAATCCCTTAGATAATGCATGTACCAAAAGACCTATATATGAAGTGATTATGCGTCTCTGAGGATGGATTAGCTGGTAAGAGAATAATGAAAATCCACTAACTGCTGTGATTGAATTAATTTACCAACAATTAGCATTCATGAATAAGACACGGTTGATACTCAATGCATAACGTTATATCCATCTGAGAAAACATAGATTGCCTATCGTATTGTGAATTCATTTTGGCAAAATCCATTTAGTAGAGAATGTTACTAGATAGTAGACTTTTTCTCTCCATTTGTAATGGAATAAATAGAACATTTTAGGCTGACATACCACTTCATATTATACTCTGTATCTTGTACGTTGATGAATGAAACTAATAGAATCATAGGTTAATTGGAATCGGAAACATTAGCTAATAAAATAAAACTAGCTTAAGTTGACTAGTAAACTCAACTGTTGAAAAGTATTTCAGCCACCACAAGTACCCTTACTGAAAATAAAACTGCTTACATTTAATAAAAAAAACTTTTAAACACTTGAGTTTACTTACTACTTTTAAGTAGTGTAAAGAAACTTCGTAAAAGTCAATTACCTGTGATAGTCACTCTCCAAGTTGAGTTCAAATCACAGTTTGTTTCCACTCTTTGAGTAGATACTTGTATTTCTGGATACAGTCGACCGATCTGTTCAGTGGAATATTTTTCATCACTTGGGATATTGATTTTATCATTAAATTCATTGGGTATGGATTGTGTAAACGTTAGTCCATTTAAACAAGCAGCAGTGTATAATAAGGAATGATTGATATCTATATTTAAGTTGAATGAAAAGAGATTATCTATATTAACAATTTTGAAAAATATGACTAACGGCTGAATAACACACTAAATTTTCCAGATGACGCACTAAATCCGACATCTTGAAATCTCATGAGAGATAACATCTACTGAGTGTACCTTGATCATAGCTAGATTGAAATTTGCTTCAATAATTCTCGAGCTACAACAAATAATTATACTATAACTTGAATCGGCCATGTATGTGCAGTTACTTTATAACATACAATTAGTGTGTAATGTTTTCACTTAGAGACGGTTAACTATTTTTATTTGTCTTTTTCACTTTAGATTTATTTCCACAACAATGGTAGCTGCTTATTTCGTTTGAGGTGTGAAGGGACATATAAGTTGGATGTGACCATGAAGTTATTATTTGAACTTATCAGACTAATCTTAATCCCAAGGCGTATATTGCTCTTAATTGTTGTTAACTATGTTTCCTGTAATATGCGAATGAATTCTATCTGTTTACTGACTCGTTGGTTCATTCTTCTTTTGCGCTTTTACAAGCTTCTCTCATGTATGTTGCTCTTCAGACTCCCCAAGCATAAAAAACACATTCAAACTAGATGTTAATGTGCTGATACGCAATAATGGAATCCATAATTATTACTAATCAAGGTAATTCAAGCATTAGGAAAGTGTTTTGTCTTTGATGGCGAACGGTGTTACAAACTTCCTGTCAAAACAATAGTAAATATTTTTCTTTAAATATTTTTTTTCATGTAAAAATTGCAGTAACATCATATTTCAAGGCAAAACTTTTTCTTAGTTAGTCGGTATGTTCTTGTCTAAATCTCAATTTGTCTCTTAGTCTAATACAAATTAAAAACATCGATTTTGATATGTTTATTAAACGTATAAAGGAATATTTCCTTCCATAGATTTATCATATATTTGTTACTTAAATCTTAGACAATCACAACGGATTTAATAGAACTAAATTTTTGAATAGCCTATTCTTATCTAAGAAGTTTGTTTAATAACTTATAGGAATATTTAAAACACATAGATCATGGTAAAGATAAATTACAAGCATAATCTTGATATCGATTGTAATAGGTGTTGTCTTTCTCATAGAATAAGGTAAAGTTATCATATTTAATCAAGCTTTCATTAAAGTTGCCTTAACCTAGGTGAATACAGATAATCCTTTGTATATATATATATATATATATATATATATATATATATATATATATATATATATATATATATATATATATAAATCATAAAAATATGGACGTTTTGGATAATTCTAATGAACCCCTGTTATAGTGGAATTTACGAGCCAACTGAAGCTAGGCCACCATGGCTAAAAACCTGGAAACACTGGACAGTCGTTTCGTCCTATTGTGGTAGTGCAAATCCGCTATCCCGTCCCGCGAGAATCAAACCCAGGACTTATCAGTCTCGTGCGCAAGAGCCTAACCTCTAGACCACGGAGCTGGCATCCTGGAGTTGTAATGAAAAGCAGTGAAGAGTGGAGTTCGACCGGGTCTGTTGTGAGATAGTAACTCACTGATGACAATGGTGGATGTGTCACTCAATTTTGTGGATTAATTTAAATTAGACATTAACACCGTTGGATATCGGCCGGCTCAGTAGTCTAAGGGTTAAGCGTTCGTGCATGAGACAGATAGGTCCTGGGTTCGAATTTCGCGAGGGGGGTCGTGGATGCACACTGCTGAGGAGTGCCACAATATGGCGAAACGGCCGTTGAGGGCTTCCAGTTTTTCCATGTTGGTCTAGCTTCAATTGACTCATGAATGCAACTATAAAATTACCAAAATCTCTACAAAACCCTTTCTGATAATAATATTTTATTTTATTTACAATTAACAATCTTGTGGAAAATGTTTTAAAACGTTTATTCTTAAAGTGTATAGTAAAGATAATTCTTACTTCAGGATCATAATATGTCTTTCTTGGGAATTCAGTATTTCGAATTGTTATTATGATAATCCCAGTGACAGTTAAATAAGATGAATAAGTTGAGTAGTAGGGTTATTGGAGATAAATACACGCTAATTATTTAATCTAATCCTCAGAATTGATGAAAATTCATCATTCAGAAGCTACAATGTTTTTATAGAGTTAAATATTATTTTAACCATCTGGCACCTAAATATGGGAACATTTCAATGCAATCATAGTACATTGAAAATACATATTAACTTACGAGATTTGATTTCAATGGTTGTTCTTTTTTGTGAATTTTTCAATGTATACAGGAATGCATTTGATGTAGTTCTCTGTGGAATGGATGTAGTTTCTATTGAAACTTTAGTGTTTTCTGCATAGATTGGTTGTGCACGATGAATATGACTTATATTGATTTGACATGTTTGATTGCCCCAATTAGAAGTACTGTACTGAAATGGTTTAGAGAACTGGAGAAAAATTATTAATTTAGTGGTGGATTTCATTGATTTAAAATAGGAAACAGCTATAACATAATCAGGGAGTGGTTAAATTTATTTCATTTTCCAGCTAACACTTCTTCGGAGTCCGAAAAAAGCTAATAGTTGGCAGAATGTCTTGTAAAACAGTGTTGGATTATAAAAAGTAAACGTGTATTCTGATTATACAAATCAGGTTAAGAAGCTTATAAAATATGTGTTTCTTGAATTCGTAGTATAAATACCTGTCTATTGTCAATCTTCGACGTGATTATCTTCAACACATTGGTCTAAGCTTGACAACCAAAAGCTTCCCACGCAATACTTTAGAGTGGTATGAGAAGACTTTGATTGATTATAATGACTTATTTCATTCTTTTGTTACCAGAATGACTTTTAATGATATCATCATCTATATTTCCACTGAAATCCAATAGGAGTTGGTCACCTTTTACTTTTACTCCCACCCTGGTACTCAAAAATTAAGAAAGTCTTACCCGGAAACCTACACTCTTATCCTACTGTAGTAATTATGTGTTAGTAAGGGAGCGTATCAGTGCCTAACTAGCTTGCCACTTTTAGCATGATGTAAATAACCTCTGATTTGGAATAAAAGATCAGTGATTGTGAGTTTTTTCTGCACATGCGATTTTACTACTTATTCATTATAAGTAATCAAACATATTTATTTCTGGATTTTCGCTTCGCAACGAGATTCTCTTGAGAAAATGAACCATCTATTTACACTTAAGATTTGAACCACCTTTGAATTTTATATTTCTAACTTTGTTCTCCATTCATTTAGTTTACATGCATTACACTCCTTACACCATCAGGAACGGTGTTAGTATAGTGGAGTTATGTTCCACAAATTATCGTAAAACTGTTATTCATGAAGACTCGTCCTGTTTTGTGACTGGATTTTTGATGGACTAGGTAAAGTCATAAATACCTACGGTTTTAGGTTTCCTAATTTGTAATGTCTGCTTTAATTTCCACGCTAGTAATACATGCTTGAAAACCTGACATTTTTGGGATTTTTGTTTATAATTTGATTGTTAAGTTGGGATGATCGTATGGATTCAAGTATGGCGGTCAAGTATGTGCCGAAAGTTTTAGTTTAGTACAAACAGTAAATTTCAAACGATTTATTTTACATTGAAATCATGAACCGATCAAAGTGAGACCACCATCGAAAACTCGGAGGCACTGAACGGGACTCCTCAGCAGTTCGGCACGCGGGATTCGAACCCAGAACCTCTGATCTCGCGCGCGAGCGCCTAACCTCTTGATCACTGGGCAGGCATCCAAAGGTGTTATTGTTCAAAATGTCGCGTGACCATCTTTCATTGTCTTCGGTGGGTAGCTCGCTCACACTCAACACGGTTGAACTTCACTGGTCACGGTCTCTTACTAAAACTCTGAAAATTCCCTCTCAAAGTTAGTCACTAGTGAGCACATGAAAATCACTGGAAATCTATTTTTCAACTTTTCTTCATTATATGTTATTTCCAGAATAAATGTTGGCTTATGTGTAGTAATCGACGACAGTGTTATATAAGACTTATATGTGTACTTCGTTTTCTTTCGTCGTGTACTTATAGACTTATAAAAAACTACTGGACAAATCACTTTCACTTTAAAATCGAAAACGGCGATGAAAATTTCACCCCGATAGACTGAGCCAAACAACTATAGCGTAATGGAATTCCAACTAAACAGAAGATCGTTACGTACATCTTCTTTTAACAAAATCAAACTAAAACATGGTGAAATATAAAAGTCAATTTATATTTGGAGCATAACACTTAAATTTAAATTAAATATGTAAATGTAACTGCTGGGGTTTGATGCATATGTGATTGGTTCATATCTTGATATCCACTATCACCTACAGAAATATTAGTTTGACAAAAGCTTTTTGGTGTCTAAACTTAGAGGTTAACATAACCAGTACGGTAATATGATTGACGTGCATAGACGATAGTTTCCACGACTTGGCTTACATTATGTTTAAATTCATTAAAATAATTTGGACATTTATTGCAATGTGCCTCGAATCACTCAGCCGTCATCTCCTTTTTAAGTCTTCACTGTAGACTATTTCATGTGCGACTATTCCCAAATTGTTCATAGTGTTCGCTGCATCAGCGATGGAAATTGTAGTAATTTATCTCTGATGCTGAGAAGTGCCTCAATCTGCAATTATACAGTACCGCTCAATATTTTACATTATTTGGCTGACTTCTATATATTTCACCTGATTACTTAAAAGAGATAAGAATAGTTGCTTACCTGCACAACTATGTATTTCTCCTCCTTATGTCTTTGAAGTGGAGGAGGTTCAGTTCCGAAATCTTTCAAAAACTTCAGTTGAAACAGTGATATTTCTTTGTCAACAGATCTATGAACAATTGCATCATCCCATATAGGTAAACTTGTCTTATGCTCTAAATAAATATTCTCATTCCATAACAACAAAATACCATGTTTTAGAAATCGTTGCTCCAGAGTTTGAATATAATAATTCACTTTGTTTGATTTACGTCTTGAAGGTTTTCCGTTATTCATTAATTGAATGTTATATTTTAAACGAGGACTACTCCATAATAATTTTGGTAAACCTTGAATTTCAAGAGTTAACCAAGTTTCAATAGTGTATAAAATTTTCGGAGGACGATGTCGAACATGACATATATAAGTCCCATTAGTAAAGTCAAATTCAGGATTTAAAGTAAATTTTAGTGTTTTACCTAGAATAGAATAAGCAATAAGAAGTTTGTCAATTTTTAAATCTATAATAGACAGTTTATCATCATCATGAGGAATTGGACTCTGAATTTCAGATAATTTATAAGATCACACCAAATCATATGTAAATATTTTCATTCTGGAAAGGCATATGGTATACAGTACACAGTTGGATTTATGTACACATAAGTTGTTTATAAAGTCGATTTATTCATCACCATATAGTTCATTTTGTATTTGTTTATTTTTCGTTTACTATTAATTACCCATTTTTTTGCCCCCAAATGCCCTGGTACGGCCGAGAGTGGGGATAGCCCAATCTCCCTCTCGAAATGCTCTCACATGGTCACGCGTATATAGCCTCTGTCAGGGAAGTCCTACTCACTGCCTTCTCGTGACAAAGGTGTTGTTTACGAAATTGAGAGGACGAAAAGCGAATGTCCGGCGCTTTAACCGGGTTGGTGGACATGGAGAGTCCATCTAGGGGAGTTGGAAAACCCTGATCCCAAACCAATGGTGTACATGGGCTCCAGTATCCTAAAGGAACAAATGGCGTATGAATCAATCGTTTGTCACCGGCTACCATGAGTCTGCATCCCCTTACGTTGCTCCACCGCCTTGTGGACGAGACCTTCAGGTCGAAGACTTCGGGTGTGGCCCCTTAAGAAAATCAGCTGCTTCGGTTTGGGCACCCGAGAAGTATCACAGCTTTCACAAATATCAAATGAGACTTGTGTGGCGCATATGTATTTGGTGCCTCCTTGTACCAGTATCTATGTGTTAAAATACATATAAATAAATAACCCATTTTATCCCTAATTAATGTTACATAATCTTTAGTAATTTTATACGCCCAGGTATATCCAACTAAAAATTCTCTGATTTCATTGGTCCTATTTTTGTTGATCACATTTAATCGATTTCTATTCATATTTACAACAAAATTTATGCTCCTACGTGGAAAACATCCCATCAAAATCTCTCATCTTATGGTTATCTCTTCAACCTTTACCTTAACAGAAGTCATATTATTAATAATACCATTGATGATCCATTTATTTATTAAAACAATGATTATTATTTCACATAAGTAGGGTCACAGTTATGAAAAGGAAATAATCGAAATTAAAATTATTTTCGTTGGATGATTTGTTTTAATTTAGTTTAACTACTTATTAAAAGTAGTTAGAATATATTTTTCGTAAAAAAATATATTTATAAGTTTACCTTGTAAACATATCTCAGTTGCATTCGAATGTCTACTTGTATACATCTCACAACGGGAACCAAAATAATCAAGGCAACTTGGATTGGAATAACATTTAATACCACAACAGTCAGGATCTGTAAGAAAAAAGAAAGGATAGAAATAGGATAGTTAATTAAATCAAATAAAAATAACGAAAGAATAAATGATTAGGTAATAAAGAAAATCATCTTTGATATTGTTTTAGTCTAGATCTCAAAAAGGGTAATTTCCTCTGCACCATTCAACTAAATCATTCTAAAGTTAATTTGTTATTTCGTATATATATATCTTCCACAACTATTCCATTGACATAAGGGTTGGAGAAATATAAATTACATTAGATAGACTTAACTAATACTGATTAGATTGTTTCTTAGTCAGTAGTCTTTTGTCACATAACAATTGGCGCTAAAAAAATAGTTGTTTTTACCGCTTTCAATTTTCTCATGTCACTTATATTGATGACCAAATTGGGAAGCGATTTTTTTAGTTTCTATGAGAAAAATGTCGAGAAAGCTATTTTCATTAGCCACATTTTCTTTTACTGTAAAACTCCTTTTTACAAATTCTTTTGTATCAATATGCGTCTGTCAGTTTACCTACACTTTTTATTTTAAGGCAAATAACAAGTAATCAAAGTTTGCGTTTCGAATGTGTGTTATAAAGCAATTGTATCTGTTTTTTTGAAGATAAATAGTGTTTTAGTGACCTGATATATTTGTCTCCAATTAGATAGGATGAATGATTGTTATTGAAATGAACATGTCGTCTATCCTCGCATATAATTATCAACTTAACTCGCATTAATGAATAACGAATAAGCCAAATACGAAAATGGATTTTGAATACGTATATTTCATGCATTCAGTGATTTGAACAGGCAATCAGGGAGACGAAACGAAGAGGGAAGAGCGTAGCAGATTGGAGGAGGAGTATGAGCCAACTCAATTTAATCAAACGTTAGTTAATATTTATAGTCGGATAGATATAAGTTACAGACATATGATGAATAGAATAAGAAGTGCACACACATACACTCATATAAAAACAGACAAGATTGATAAGCGAATAATTAACAAGGTCAAAATGTTGCTTGAGAAGAATGGATAAATTGGTTTGCCTAGATGCTAGAATAAGCTATATGGGCTCGACGTAGGACCAGCCACTACAATGTAAATATATATATTCCAAGAAAACTGGTTGGTTTCTTAAGGCATGTATAATTTATATGAGTTTGTATAATTTGCAAATAATATCTCTGTGAATGAAATGATCATTTAGTGAATTATCTTTTTTGTAAAACGGCACAATAGGGAAATTTAAGTATATATAGGATACCATGTATGAGAATTCTTAATAAACTCATATTTTACTAAAAAACGGTGTTTCTAATCATTAAATCTTCACAAATTGCAATGAAGTCGCTTGATTGAGTATAAATTGACTCTCTATACCGTATAAGTCAGTTTGAAAAGGAAAGGAGACAGTGAATTAACCTCAGTAACTAACCAATTAAACAAAATATCATGCTGTTCAACGAATTTTGGTGACTCTTAGCTGACGAAGTTCAGGTATGTCGAGATATAAGAAAGAATCTTTAATCATACCAGATGATTATCCTACTGTACAGTGTGTTGATCGGGGTTGAAATTATGAACCACTGGATACTGACTAACAAGTCTAAGATTATTTATTTTACGAAAGTCCTCCTAGGTTCGATACCTGGTGAGATCATGAATGCGCAATACTAAATCGAAATAGATTTCCGCGTGTCCCAAGTGTTTAGTACATCGTTACCTATAATCATGTTGTGAAAAAGATCTATCTACGTTTACAGAAACATAATAATGTAGAAATAATACGTACCATTAGCTTGCCTGATATTTTGTTCAATAGTATTAACGCGCAATAAATTTCCATAGAATATTTCTTCATTCAAATCATGATTAGTTTCGACTTCATCATGATTACTAAGTAAATTGTTTTGAACTTTCTTTAAATTTGTCTCTGAAAACATTTCAGTTTTACTATTGAAACATGATTGTTTTAAACATGTTTGACAAATACGTCGTTGTGTATCACAGTGCATATCTTTTAAGTATGATTGACTTTCTATAATGTTTTCTTGAAATAATTTATTGACCAATGGTGAATTGATTGTACAATAAAAACTATTTAGTTGAGGAGGTAGATATGAAGCTTTCTAAAATATAAATCAATAAAGTTATAGTATAAAAGAAGAAAATCAATTACTGACAATTAGTTAATCAGAAGGGATTTATGTGGATATTATTAGTAATTTCAATAGTTGAGATCATGAGTCAATTGAAGGTAGACCACTATGAAAAATCTGGAACCCTTGGACGTGAGACATTATCCAATGGTATTTTTAATTTTTTTCAGTCTTATTGTTACACACACCAAATGAAGTCAATTAAAAGAGGGGGAGTCCCTACCGAAGAGTCCTACAATGGGACGAAACGGCCATCCAGTGCTTCCAGGTTTTCTATGGTGGTCTAGCTTTAAATGATTCATGATCTCAACGATTAAAATTGGTTAGTCGTTTTATAATATAAAAAAATAAAACATGAATGCAATTATTATTTCCAAGCATCAAAAAGTGTATTTAAGAAATCATGCAAAATGTTACATTCTAGATTGTATGATGCATGAATATATCCATAGTATTATGAAACAATGTGGAACTAGTGACAACCATGAATTTTCAAATGAATAATTCTTGTTACATAATAATCAATCGTTAGAAAGGATAAAACAGATCAATAAATTGTGAAACTTCTAAACATGCTACTCATTAGGTGATATATATGAATATGATGTTACTTGATTGTTGTTGAAATCTTTGAATGATTATGATTCCTTTATATTAAGAATGTCAATATATATAGATGGTTTAGGTAATGGGTGGAAGTCAATCATTTGAAAAATTGACATTATTTAACTTAAAAAACTGTAATCAACTTACTATAATACCAATATAAGCCAATGCTTCTCAATCATTTATTGAGTCATTAATTTTTCGTCAAAGTCTGTTACACCCAAAGTCTTTCAAAGGGCAAAGGCAGTAGTCATTCGTATTAAAAAAAAACCGGAGTTGTATGTACAAAAGAAATAACTTTAACCGTTTCTCGTACTTTGGCCAACCTTAGGGTCAATTAATCATAAGTAATTTTAACTATTGAATGACTTGATTGGACTAATGTACTTACAAGATTTCTTAGTCAAACATAATTGTCTCCGTTATCTTTATTCATATATGTATGTGCTATTAATATTATAGTTATTATTATTAATTTAACGTCACTGCTAGTATCCCGAATAAATGATTAATCTACTTTGTACTCACCCTGCATTTTTATTTCTTACTAAGTTCATTTAACTTTCTGAACAATGTAGTCTCCCACTGAACATTGAATGGAATTTCTAATGACACTATTATTTCTCTCACCCTATCTGATCCATGTTTATTCTGATCATAAATCTCATATTTTCATTTAACGTATAGGCTTATTCAAGTTAACATTACATATTATTCATCTCGATATTAACCTCTAGATCACAGAGACGGCCGGCATCTAACGATATTAATGTCTAACTTCAACTGATCCGTGAAATTGAGCCAGAGTCCACCATCGACTTCAGTGAGTTACTATCTCACAATAGACCCGGCTGAACTCCATTGGTCACTGTTTCTCACCAGAACTCCATGACATATCTCTTGAAGCCAGTCACTAATGAGCATGTTTTAGTTATTGGTCCCAAATTCGCGATGTGGTTTGCCTTAAATCTGGTCACTTTTAAGATTACTAATACGGATATATTATTGTAGAATCTGAAGACAATTTACTGAAAAGAACATCCTTCATTCATATATTAGTGTTATGAATATTTTCCTAATTATTCGAGTGATGTTGTATACATCGTTAATGAACCATATACATTTTAATAAAAATAGTCAAATCTACAATGATATGCTGAATTAAAACAGTAGACTCATAAAAACTGCTGTGTAACTTCGTTTCTGCTCATAACATGCTTGATTCTAACGTAATTGAATAAATTGTATGTATGTACTTATGTCTCCATTTGCCTACATTAGTCTTTGTCTATTCCCATAGTTACGGTCTTGCTAATTATATATTGTAAACTCTGAATATTTTTTTAGTTGTATACATCTTATGAGTATCTAAAATTTGTACTGGAAATGGTTATTTAAAATTCAGACATTATTCACCTTATTATAAAGAATGAACCACCCTTTATTTGCTAAGTAAAGTTTTACAACTACTCCTATCCATATCTTATCAATTTTCATATTCATTCATTCAATCTGCCTGTTCACATGAATATCTAAATTATACATGTCTTAAATAAAATCATATTTGACCTTCTGTAGTGTTTGAAAGAACTGATTATTTCTTGGTACTTGTTGAATGCTTGATTTTGAATTCTAAATACAGTACATTCGTTTGTGGTTATCTAGTACTTCTTGATCCGATTACGTTATTTCTGGGATTCTTAGTTCATACTATAATTTAAATACTTCTAATTATCACACCTTCTCTTTCTATGTTGTATTAGTGATTAATCGGCAGCAAATTTATGAAGTGAATTAGGATACATATTTTATAAATATCATTATAGTTCAATCGTCATGGAGTAAACAACGGACAATAAACAATAGAGAAATAATAATCAATATTATCAGTTAGTGATTAAAAGAATTTTATGGCTTGACTAAACACGATTGAAAAAATCAGTTTTAAGTAACATTTCATATAATTTGGTAGTATGTGTACTCTCAACTGTTATGAATTCAAGTTCGTTAACTGAATCTCAATAAATCCTGGAGAAATATCAGGGCTACTTGTTACTGCCATCCAAATATTCCAACAAGCTGTCTTTTTTTGTTTGTTTTTAACAGAGTAATTGGGTGCACAAACTAATCAGGTGAGTTTGTGAAAAGTTTACGACATTTCACTATACAAGTTAACTAAATGTACAATAAGAATTTTCGTGGTTGCTGACAATATGCATCGAATTGAATGAACGTTGTTCAGATGTGTATTTCTGAATTGGTAACATGAAACTGGCAACTACTCAATATTTCTCGTCAATATCGATCAAGATATAAAAGAGAGAAAAACCTGTTGAAATACTCTGTCCTGAGAATTCTATATTGTACCGAAAATATAATACTGAATTAAGCTAATAATATGAATAATAATAATAATATACATAATTTATTTTTACTATCCTGCAAACAGAGAGGAGAAAGATTTGAGTCGAAAAAGGTAACTCATGACCATTTAAAGAAATATAACTTTATGATTTGATAAGTTAAAAATGAAAGCTTTTAAAAGATGTGAAAATTTGTTTAGCTGATTATTGACTCTTAAAACTAATGGTGTCAAAATTTATAACTGAAAGTCAAAATTCAAATCATTTTAAGTTGCTAAGTGGTTAATAATTAATGTTCCCTTAAATTGAAACTTAAATTTTGATCAAATATTGTTTGAAATGAATTCAAAGATTACCACCTTGTATAGTATCAATCATATGAAAGTTTCTCCAAATTTAAATATTATATCATTTAATTCATTAATTCTTTTAAACTACTTATAATATAGAAATAGTAGTATTTAAAAACTACGAAAACAAAACGGTGCACATAATTTCTATTAGAAGAACCTTGATTAAAAATTCGGTCTGATGAGTATATGTAGACTATTAAAGTACAATGAATGTTAGAGGAATTAAAAATAGTTTAAACGACAGTTTAGTTGTAGGTTTAATATACGAATATTTGGGAACAGAAACGTGAAAAGAAAATGTCACTATTTAGGTCCTAAAGTATGTGGGCACTAACCCTACTTCGCAATATTCCAGTGTATTCGCCTTGGCACGCACAATATAAACTATAGGATACAACTGAAGGCAACAAAATTTGGATATTTATTCACATTTGACTGTCGCAATCAGTTATTCGCGTGTTACAGGGAGACTATCCTGGCCAATATATATGTTCTTTTATCTGAAATAGATTTCCCTAGCGATCTTATTAGTTTAGAAACTAATTATAAGGATGACAGAGACTTTCATGACCGTAGCACATTCCATTTACTTCATTTTATTTATCCATTTCCTGAATTTGCTGTACGTACGCCGCTGAAGAGCCGTTTGATCAAATGTCTTCTGTAGCTTATTCGATAGAAGTTATTATTGTTCAAGAATAAACCACTTCATATATCGTTTCGATAAAATTTGAATGTCCAATCACTATATCAATAATTCGTATTCTAGTCAAATTGTAGTGAACAAGAACACAAATGTGAACAGTTGAATTTATTTCAACATAAAATTTCAGAATCACTTAGCAAAATCTGAGAACCGTACAGTAAAATACATCATTTACAAAATATCAGTCAATCGATTCATACTCCATTTTACCTTCATTTCCAAACCAATCATTCTCTTTTCTTCGATCTTCATAACCTTCTGCCGTCAACTATTCCACATTTCATTGATGACACATACTACTTTTATCTGTCGAAATCAGTAGCATACACACACACCACACAATCATCTGTAAACACATTATCCAACTTTTAAATTATGTATATTTATTGTGAAATTCTTAATTTAAAGAAAAAGAGTTAGCAAACATTTTCACATATCATCCTATTGAATATGACGAAGATTTAAGAGGGTTTACGTGTACCATCTAGTCTGTTTTAATGATTAATTTAAATAGGAATACATTACAAATACAAAATTCTTTGATTTCAACACAAATGTAGTTTTATTTAATAAATGATATTCAGACAAAATATGTATTTTATAAACTGCATATTTTATATTATTGTATCCATGTAAATGTCAGATGAAGACCATTCTTTAAAAATTATTATTTATTTAAAGTCTCTGAAGTGTGCTTAATGCCCCCTCTCTCTCTTATACACACATACACACACAAACAAACAAAACCTCATATCGTTTAAAGTCGGACCGCCAAAAACACAAGAATTCAACATTCAATTGATTACTTGATGGATTGAAATTACTTTCATACCTAATTGATGATTTATATGAGTGAACATTTGCCATTATTTTATAATGGTCTATTTTTTATTAGGATATTTTAAATGTCCAACTGTGTAAATCTAGTTTTTAATTCATTTATCTATCATGTACTAATTTCAACTAAGTCAAAAGAACAAATTTTTTCAGGTAGATACAATAAAGTGCAAGTATCATTGTTTTTTTGTTTTTTGTTTGGAAAATGAAAAAAAAGAAAAAAAACTGAACACAACCAATTTTAAATTAATGTAACTGAAAGAAACATGAATGTGTGTATATGTGTGTGTGTGAGTGGTTTTTTGGTTTGGGTTTCAGTTTCGGCTTTTTTTACAATATCAGGCAGGTAACATGCATTCCATTCAATAATGAAAACACAAAACAAACCGCATTCATGCAAACACAATCGAGATTTTCATCATTCTAATAAACTATCTTTTTTTTTAATTTTTGAGCATCGACAAAACTATTTTAGTTGGATACCAAATGAAGCATGTGAAAAAAAAACAAGTAAATTTTCAATAAATAATCATTCGTTTAACTAAAAAGAAAAAAATAATCAAAAGAAGCGGGCAAAACATTTTCAAAGCATCAATTTCCAGTAAACTCACATCTGAAATGAGTATAGCATTATGAAGCTAAAGTATTAAAAACGTTATTATTTATTTATTTATTTATTTATTAAATAATATGAAAATGTATTTTTGTATTAAATTCTGATTTTCAATAATAGTTATAGTCATTTAGTTATGTTTAATTGAATCTTCCTATTGATCATTAGGACTGCAAGTGATCGGTACATACTGTGTGTATGACTTTGATATTTTCCTAATTCACATACATTATAAGTAAAGATGAATAGTAGATAGCTAAAAAGATAACACGATAGCGTTTGAAGTGAACAGTACTGGGTTCGAGTCTCAGGGTGAACATCAATTTTGAGATGCAGGTACATTCAGCTGACGAATCTTAAATCAAAGGAAACATGCGTTCTGGATTCCACTGTTAGCCACAATCTATCTATGCTTATATTGTTATTGTCAGTTATGTTCATTCGTTTATAGTTGATTTCAGTTGATTAATTGAAATAAATTACATTTGCAGACTAATCATCAGAGCATGTTATAAATTGAATATAACAGAATAATATTTTCATTTAAACAAATTGTATTTAATTTTAGGCATCTATACCAAGACTGAACTTGATAGTTTCATATAAATGAGGCATTGGGTAGAGAATTAACAATAAATGTATTTGTTTCTTTTGCACTATTTAAACTTACATTAATTTAATGTCGGTTTTAGATTTACTCTGAAGAAGTGGTTTAAATTAAGTTACGAAACGTCAGAAATAAAATCTTTCTACTCACTGGGATATAATAAAAAATATATTTGAAGTTAGACATTAACACCACTGGATGCCGGCTTAGTGATCTGGTTGGTTAAGCGCCTGACGCGAGACGGATAGGTCCTGGGTTTGAATCTCGCGGGATGCAGGATCGTGGATGCGCACTGCTGAGGAGTCCCATACTAGGACGAAACGAGCATCCAGTGCTTCCAGGTTTTCTATGATGGTCTAGCTTTAATTGACTCATGATTTCAATCGGTGAAAATATATATTTATTATGTATTTAATTGTATTCAAATTAACCTAATATATATGTTCGGAAACTTGGGTATGTTGCGTCATTTACATTTTGGAAACATCTTAAATGAAATTGCGATAAATATTCAAATGATTAGATATCTGTGTGTAGAAACTGATTCAGGCAAAAGTACTTATAATGTATAATATACATTATAATGTTATAACATATAGAGATTTTGTTCTCGAACTTGATTTTATCGATATTACTATTGTCATATATATGAACAGTAAATAAAAGTTTGATTATGCAATCAACAAAATTCACATCTTGGGTAGTTTATTTGTCATGACGTTAAATCATAACAAATAAATAAAGGTTACAGAATTTGTGACCCCAAATGTAGTCAGCTATGTATCGGAGAAACGTTTTTCCTTAGATAGTAGTTTATGACTGGGAAAGTAAATGTAATGTGCCTATTGTTAAAGAACTTTAAATTAAGATGAAATGGACAGTTATTTTTCTGATGGTTTTCCAGCTGATGTTAGTCTTTGATAAATTTATCTTCACAACCTAATACGCTGAAAGAAGCTATTAGGTGTCGGTTCTATAGTAATTTAATTTCAATTTACTTCACGAATGTTCTCTATGAGAATGATTAAGAAATACACTGTTCTAGTGTGTGCTGAAGGATTTGATACTTTTTATACTTGGTTAGTCGTACGTTTGATAGTTTCACTATGTAAAGTTTACTATTTAATGTCTCAGGGTGATTTCATCAATACAATACTTACTTACTTACATCTGTTACCCTTCATGGAGCATAGTCCGCCAACCAGAATAAAACAGAACAACACGACATAACATGATCCAATTATACATCAAAAAATTCAAGCTATACTGTTAAAATTAGCATTAAGTGAACATGGTAAGATCCTAGTTAAGATCAACTGAAATAGAATAGTCTTCAAATTTTTGATGTAGAAATACTGAAAAAAGTTTGATTTGGACACATTTCCCGAGTCATGTAAACTTCATCACGTATCTAGATATAATTCAAGTAGTCTATGCTATTTGTTTCTTCTTTAAGAAAACTTATCTACCAAATTACCATCACTTATCTACAAACACTTAATAATTAACTATTTTTTTTTAATTCAACGTTAAAGATTATATGATGCAAAAACATACTTCAGTGGACAAGATCCAATGAACAGTCTTCCAGTTACTCGCATAATCTATAATGTGAATCCTCCTGTTATTTAAATTAGTCATTCATATTGTGACTTACTTTCATCAGTGATGTTACTGAGTTTATGGGTTAGCCATTACAGAGTAATTCATATCATTTCGTTTAAAAAATTGTTGTATAGATAATAGGAATTACAACACAAGAAACTTAATTAAGATTAAAGAGTAATAATTTATTATTTTCGTTAAAAATCATATTTGAGGTGATCTACTTGAATATCTGAACTACCGGTTCCCGGCATCCAAATATTTTTACAAGCTATCTGTTCTTTATTTGTTTTAAGAGATCAATTAAATGCATAAACTATTCAGGTAAGTTTGTGAAAAGTTTATGACCTTTCACTATACAAGTTAACTAAATGTACAATAAGAATTTTCGTGGTTGCTGACAATATACATTGAAAAGAATGAACATTGTTCAGATGTGTATTTCTGAATTGGTAACATGTAATTGGCAACTACTCAATATTTCTCGTCAATATCGATCAAGATATAAGAGAGAGAAACCTGTTGAAATATATATATATATATATATATATATATATATATATATATATATATATATATATATATATATATATATATATATATACGTAGTTGACTAATGTCAAAGATCATGTCGCTGATTGTTCATTAATCTTTACTTTATGTCGGAAACAGTAGAATCAATAATTTGTAACTTGGAAATAGTATTGAAAAATGTAGACAATAGAAATTTTAATCTCGTGATTATACTAATAAAAATAATAAACTCTACCTGTAATTAAGAATTCAGTAAGTCAAAGAATAAAGACAACTCTGATAGTTGATGACTTTGTTCTCATATATGCGTAAATGAAACACTTACATTTTATGATTAGTAAAAATAAATGTGTCACATATCTATGCACAAAATAATGTTGACATTTATACGTGAATATACTAAGGCAGAAAGAGAAAGCGAAGGTGAGAATTGATAAGACAAAAGTTCTTCCTTCTTGTTTTTTTTTGTTTTTAGTTTTTGATTTCTTATCTCAACCTTCCTTTTCTCTCATTGGAATCAAAATGAACACAAAAAACAAAAAAAAAACAAATAAAGACTTGAAGTGGCAAATGATAACAGGATGATGAATTTACCCTCCCCCCCCCCCACAAAAAACTGTCTAACTATTCACACGTAGATTCAATGATAAGGAAGCTGAATATGAAAAAGAAACAAAAAATACTATAAAATTAGCTGTCGAAGTGCTGTTTTTTTCCAAAAACTTTTATTTATTTACTTATTTATAGAAATAAGAATTTTAGTTTTAGCTTCGTTTAAGTTTTATTGTCTACTCCAAAGTAGTGAGAGGTTAGAAAGAAAATAAAAAGACTCATCTTTTTCATGATTTTTTCTAGCGTAACGTTTGTCACGGTGAATTGTTTTTAATCAATAGCAAAAACTGGAATAGACAAGGTATTGATGATGCTGCTGATGATGGTGATTATTAATCTCCTATTGACATGTCTAGTGGATTTATTTCGGATAAACTTTGAATATTCCCAAAGAGAACATTAAGAAAAAGAGGTTTACTTGAAAGAAGAAATAAAAAAAAGAAAAGAAAAGATGTGTCGTAAATTTTTTTTCATGAAAAGAAGTTTATAGTGTGAAACGTTGATTTATTTTTTTTTCTTTATTTGCTAAGCGTTTATATGAAAATTAATTATTTAAGGAAATTAATTTTAAGATTGATGATTAAGAAATGATAGATCCATTATGAAATGTTTCACTGAATTGTTGTTAGAAGTTTAATAGATATGATAATAAGAAAATCTTTCCAGTAAGTTAGATGGATCTAACAGATTAGTTGTAGTTTATAATAGATATTTCTAAGTTTAATTAAACTAAAGACTCGAACACAATCAACTGCTTGAAAATATTGTTACAGTACTTAGGAATATTATTGAATACTATTTTTAATGGTTGAGATTATGAGTCAATTAAAGCTAGACCATCATGGAAAACCTGAAAGCACTGGATGACCGTTTCATCCTATTGCGGAATCCCGCAGTAGTGCGCGTGAGACTGATAGGTCCTAAGTTCGAATCTTGCGAAACAGGGTCGTGGATGTGTACTGCTGAGGAGTCCCACAATAGAACGAAATGGCCGTCCAGTGCTTCCAGGTTTTCTATGGTGTTTACACTCTGGATAATTCTTAGTTAGCCATGCGTTGAAAACCAAGGGCACTGAACATCTGTTTTTTCGTAGTGAGAGACCCTTTGGCAGTGGGTATCCATTACTTCACTACGAAGGATAGACCTCAAGACTATCGGGTCACTCAGCAAGCACTGAACCTGTAGATTATTGAGTTAATGTCTATTAGGTTAAATGGTTATTTTTGGCCAATTCACGACATTACTTGATCATTTTCAGTTGACTGCATCAGATGACTGTCTTACACTACTCGTTTTTGATCTTCACTAGTAACCGCTTTTCACTGGATCACATGAAATTACTTCTCGAACTTAGTCGCAAGTCTACATAAAATCGCGATCAAGATTACTGAATTTTCATAGTTTATATCACGAAACGATCACATTTAAACAACCAGTGAAGACTAGGAATCACTGAACTGTAACTACATGTTGTGTTCAATATTGCCCAACATATTATGCTACATTAAGATAACCACAAAGTCTTCTAACGGACCCAGTAATACAATAAATGTAATTCATATGATAACTTTTAGAAATATGCACATGAATTTCATGACCCGAAGTATAATTATAACTATGATTTCTGTATTTCAGTCAATAGATAATACATTTTCCTTTGTAGTTGTTCTAGGTCTACAAGTAGAATATGAAATGTACCTTCTTGAAATTACGATAACTTATGTGTGATAAGTAATTCTAAATACTTGACTGTTCGCTCTAAACTCCATCACGTTATCTATTTACCTATTGAAATACAGGCACATTCAGCCGACGAGTCCGAAATAGGGTGAAACGCGCGTCTCGGATTCCACTGTTAGTCACTATCCATTTTTGCTTATACAGCTTGTGACTTAAGACATATCGATGCAATTCGCAAAGGATGCACACAAATTAACAAGAGACCGAATAATTTCAGTCCTAAATAACAATGAAAAGTGATAAGTAAACAACACCAAGTGAATCAATGAAAAATCTAATTAAAACCCAATCTTATTAGATAATTTTACCTTTGACATTAGTATTCAACGATATTATGTGATAAAACGTTGTATGTATTGTATACATCTTGATAAAACTAACTGTTGTTTGTTCATATATGTAAATACTTTTAGATAATTGTACATAGCTCATAAATAATTAAGGCATAAACCAAATTCTAACAAAGTGGGTGTATCAATAGAAAAGTTAGAGTTGATCTAGACAAATAACATACTAGTATACTCATTACTAACATTATTTAGGCATAATGTTCTTAATTTATGTTAAGTCTGATTAATTTGTCTTTTTATATATTTTTTATGAGTGGAGGGGTTATGATGCGTAATATAATTTGCAAATGATATTTATCATGGATGAACATCAGTTATGTCATTATTGAAAATAAGGGACAGTAAGTAGCTGATTCATTATCATAAGGGATTCGAAAGCGTGTAAACAGACCTTGTCAGGGATTCAAACCCGGGACGTAAAAGTATCCTTGCCTTTAGATTACTTAATTAGAATCCATTTGCTTACATTTCCAAATCTACTTTGTTATATTTTTTTAAAAACGTAAAATAAAAATTAAGGGTAGCGCTTCAAAGAAGGGAGTTGTTCATGTTTATAGTTACCGGTACGTAGAAAAGTTATTTTTTGTTGTGTTCATAGTTATAAGTGTACAGATTGGAATATTTACAACAGTGGTTGGATTTCATTTGGAGTCAAACATGAAGACAAAATTTACAATAGCGAAGACGATTTACAATTTAGTTGAAGCACTTTAATGAGATTTTGTTTGCTGGGCTATGTAGTTTTAGCGACGAAGCTTATATTGTCCTTCTGTACAAATTTATCAGCACAAATGTCAGATCAAAGTGAGTTGTTTGAATTTCACCACATATTAATAACAGGCTTTTTTGTGGATCATAATCTTGGTTAATTGTCGCTCCGTCATTCTTTTCATGATTATCTTGACTGTTATCTCTTTTGATTTGATTTTTGACCATATAGTTATTTATGACTCTAATTGGTTGATAAGGTGAGTTGGTGTCTATATATTTCTGATTGATCTGGGTGCTAAGCTTTTGAAGATTCTTTGATTTTCTATAAATGCCCTCTGTCTAAATTCCCAAAACTTTCTCACTAAAAGGTGTCCATTAGCTATAGTTTAGTTATCATTCTACATAATATCACTGACATAGCAGACTTTTTCTACAGAAGCCAAATCAGAATTATCTGTTCATACATAAGCAATTAAGTTCAGAAGTAAAAGATATTTCTAATATCTACTTGATTTGTGAGTTTTTTCCAGTATATTCAGTGTTGATTCCGTGTTGGGTACTTCGTTATATACGGAATTCATCACGTATACAGATCTTTATTTCAGAATATCAATGCTCATAATGAAACATGGAAGTGGTTTTCTGTTGAATACAACGTAAAATTGACAACTAATACCTTCCAGTGACAGTGCTATTTAGATAAGTCTGTAGCATAATGAATAAAAATTTAACGAAGAGAGAGAGATGATTACTGGGATAATATTCACCCTAAATTCACGTCTGCATCAAGGAAACTCATGCAAGATTCACAGCTTCATACATATTTTGAGTTAAAACTTCTCACATATTACTTATTCATTTTAAACAAAAACTTACTGAATTCTGAAAGATAACAGTTTCACCATTGTTGATAATAAAAGAAGCATTGTTAAAGAAGCTTCAACTATCAAAATGAAAATAGCTGAATCTAAAGTAAATGACTTTTCAAGTAATCTAAGATTATTCAGTACTGTGTGTGGGCTTTATTAATATAATGTACTAAATTACTTCATATTTAAACTAAACTATGTTATACATTCTTTGACAAACTGTTCATGCTGATAGCTTTGCATATTTTAGTGTAGGATTTTCGCATATTTGAGTATTATTAATTAAATTAACCTGTGAACTGAGATTAATCCCTGTGACTGATATAGTTATTGTTTATTTTTCATTAACTAGGTGAATGACCTACGGAACCCATATCCTACAATCACTTATGCCTTCACTCATATCTGTCTGTGTACCGTAATACACAATTAATTTTTCAAGGCAATTGTTATATCCTTTGATTTATATTCATAAGGTCCTTTCCATAGACAAACAGTAGTAATCATTACTCGACTACACTATTCTTATCAATTCATTCAATCATCAAAAAGTCAAATGGTAACTAACAGCTGTTTCGTCCAAGTTTGAAACATTACAGTTATAACTTCATAAAAGATTTATCTTCCGGGTTAATGGATTGAGAATGCTTCATGTTATATACCTAACACCATCAGTGATATTTATTTCACTCTTGATTTATTTTATCTTTAAATTACCACCCATGTAATTGAAATAGAAATACTTTTTTTAAGAAGGAATCGTGGATGCACACTGCTAAGGACTCTCATAGTAGGACGAAACAACCATCTAGTACTTCCAAGTTTTCCATGGTAGTCTAGCACCAATTAACTCATCATCTCAACTATTAAAATATGTTATAGTTTACTGATGATCAGTGTATTTATCACGATCATTTTAATCAGAATTTGTAGACAATTTGAGATAGATTTTCTAAATTTCAGCGTATTTTTTCCTATATACATGTGTGTGTATATTTCATTTACTACACTTTAAACTGAAATGGTCAATTTATTTTACAAACAAAAGTAAATGTGTTTATGACACATAATTGATGATTACAAAAAGAATAAATATACATGTACTTAATAATAGAAAACAAACTCACATTTTGTGTACATTGTCCATTTATAGAACGATCATAAAATATATATCCACTTGGATAATTAGCAGGACATAAACGAGAATTAACATTATTTGGTTGGCATATATGTCTTCTAGCAGTTGTATGTCGATCTAAATAAGGATGCATAGCCAAATAGTATTGTTTAGGTAATGGATACCTATAAAAATAGATAATGTAAATCATTTAATTTTCTAAATGAGAAGTTAAGGTTTCTAATAAAATGAAAATAGATGTATTACAGTTAATTAGAATTAAAAAGATAAGGTTAGGTTTGGTGTCTATACACATATTTCAACACTGTATCCCCTCAATTTTGAAAAGAGTGTTTCATTTTGAATTATTAAAAATCTGTATCGTTAGCGTTTAAATAAGAAACGTACTAAACAAGCATATGCTCACTAGTGACTAGCCTCAAGAAGTATATCCTGGAGTTCTAATGAGAAGCCGTGACCGTTGGATTTCAACCGGGTCTGTTGTGAGATAGTAACTCACTGATGACAATGGTGGATGTGTCGCTCAATTTCATGGATTAGTTGAAGTTAGACATTAACACGGTTGGATGCTGGCCGTCTCAGTAGTCTAGAGGTTGAGAGCTTGCGCGCGAGACTGATATGTCTTGGGTTCAAATCTCGCGAGGCGAGATTGTGGATGCGCACTGCTGAGGAGCCCCACAATATGACGAAACGGCCGTTAAGTGCTTCCAGGTTTCCCATGGTGGGGTATATTTCTGCAGATCTGGAACACAATCGATCAGGCAAACTATAAGCCATTCAATAAAAGAGAGTGGCTGACGTACAATAAATCTTTAGATTTAGAACAAATTAAAGTTATTCTGTTTGTCTAATTATTTGACAGCTCAGAAAAATTTTAAAAAAAGATTGTATAGATAAAATAAAATAACAAAAGTCTGACAGTCAATGAGTTACTGATGCAAGCTGAAAGCTTCAAGTCTATTGGAAGCAATTATAAATATTAACTCAGAGATACCCAGAGTCATCTGTATGATAATGAACCAGGATATTACAAAATCATTTGATTTGTAGTGAGTAATTTACCATCTTTTAAAGAAGAAACCAACCATTTATCCAGACAATTGGATTATCAGCTTGTGATCTGAATGATAAAGATCAAACTATGCTACATAAATGTCCTAGGTTTGATACTTATCTAGGTTTTAATTGCGCTTTGATACAGAAAACCATCCAATAATCTCAATTTTTCAGCATCTTATGGGTTTGAATAATCATTTCATGATTTAAGTATCTCAGAATTATTTAGGCATTAAACACTTAACAAAATGACATGCAGATAATTTTTGATTAATTTAGATTATAGCTAGCAGTGGAATTCAATAGACGTTTGTCGTTTTGTTTGGGGTTTTGTTAACTGAACATTGATATTTAGAACTGTAGTTTGATCAATCTACAACATAATCCAAACCCAATGTGAACATTTATTTGACAAGGTAGTAGTATAAAATGTTTTTGATAAAGAGTTTGATGAATTTCATTCTTTTTAGATGACTGATTATCTTTGACTAAATAATAGGTTGTCACTAGTCATCATTCGAAGATATAAAGATATTAAGGCACATTTAATATGTTTTCATAAAGATGAGATTTAATTTGAAGTCATTGAACACTTTTCTACTCATTCTACTAAGTATTCTATAAATATCTGTATACGCTATGATTGAGATGATTTGGTTCATTTATTTCCAATTCAAACCAATAGAGAAATTATCAACATAGGGTTGTGGAGATTACTAAGTTATTGATTGAGATCTTGAACCAATTGATGTGAGACCACGATTGAAAACCTGAAAGCACCCTTCAGCAATGCGCACCCACTCACTAGTCCCACAATAGGACGAAACGGCCGTCCAGTGCTTCCAGGTTTCCAATCGGTTCAAGATCTCAATCAATAGAGAAATAATTTGACATTCAAATAAAAATAAAAATAAGTCTGAATAAATATATTGATAAACAAAATGGGAAAAGATTTCATAGGATAGTGCTACTAACAAAAGATAAAAATACTCTCAGTTGCAAATATTTAGAAGCAAATTCATTTTGTGTTCGTATAGAAAGCTAAGTAGAGTTACTATAACCAAGAATTTACTAATTATTCATCTGGTGTTATTGTATGCTAATGAATCAACACTTATAATCATAAAATGATAATATATTCACAATATATATCTATGTATATAGGTAAAATCCAGCTGTTTCGCTGCTTGGTGTGAATAGCTTCTTCCGAGGATAGATTAATTATTATGATGTATCCTTATTGTAAACAATCTAACCAATGCTTATTTTATTTGGTAGCAATAAGCCAGACCTTGTTAATAGTATTTACCTAAGTAGTATTCAAAATCTAGTTTCTATAATCTGGATTGTTATTTTACTTTACCTGTCGTTTAGAATGTTCTGTCAAACGGTGCACTTCGATGTTGACCAGTTATTGGAAACTACGGAAATTATTAGTATATCAATATATATATATATATATATATATATATATATATATATATATATATACAACCTCCGTTTGAATGTGTTCAAAACAAATTATTCTTTCATTTCCCGAAATAGAGAATCATTCATGCTGAAAATATCAATTATCATACTCTTCATTTGATATTGTCCGATAGCTTAGGTAACATAAAACAATAGCCGTAATCTATTTAGCTTATAGTCTGAGGTATATTTTACTACAAAAAGCAATTTTTCCAGGTCTGTTTTATACTATAAATGTATGCGCGCGAGCGCCTAACCTCTAGGCCAATGAGCCAGTCGGCATTCGACGGTGTTAATGTCTAACTTCAACTAATCCACGAAATTGAGCGACACATACACCATTGTCATCAGTGAGATACAATCTCACAACATACCTAGGTTTTCCAGTTTGGCCTAGATTCAATCGATTCATGATCTCAACTATTAAAATTACTATTATGTCCACAAAACCCCTTCTAATAATAATATTGATGTGTAAATATAATGTGTAATAAAAGGGGTGTTATCAAGGTAATTACGATAAACAAAAATGGATTCATGTGAATTGGGAATGATGGATGTGAAAATTAAGATAGATTTAATCAAAAAAGGAAGGGGATAAAAGGTTCATAATATTCAGTTTAGGTATCCGGTAATCCAGTCGTAGGTCAGGGTAAACAAAGAGGCTGGAGATACCTTTTATGGATACATAAGTTTGCTTTTCAGGAGTTGATCCAGATGGCTTCGGCTATGTAGTGTAACCGTAATCTAGCTCCTTGAGGTAGATATTTTTTTGGAATTTGATGTAAGACAGAGAAAGCTTCATCGATTTTGATATAATGTTCACTATCTACCAAGTGAGGATAAGATAGTGCTGCTGATCGATTTAGTGACTTGTTTTCCTAACCATGCCAGTATATGCTCCCAAACACGCAACGACAAAGTCCTCTAAGTACGACCTATGTAACTAGCTCCATAGGAGCAGTTGAATTAGTAAACACACATGGAAGAGCCCATCATAGGTAACCTATCCTTGATTTGTTGTATGAGTACTGATTTAGTTGAGAAAGTTATATGTAGCTTGTCGGTGTGAAACATCCTTTTAACAGATCTTTTTGAGTTGACGTGTTAAAATATCACCCACTATATACCCATTGAAGTTTAGTCTAAGATATAAGGTTTTATTTTTACTGACTGACTCACAATTAATTAATTCATACACTTTTAAGAAAATACTAATATACTAATACCAATATTTGTTTCCTATGATAATTGTGAAAATGACAAACAATCACCAGTGATATATCAGTCACCATTTAACAATCTCTACCAAGATTTTAATTTAATGTCAATGATAAATTGAAAAATACTTTTGATTACATGCTAATCTTTATTCTAAATTCTCTATGTCTTAATATACTACTTAAAAGAGAGAAACAAAATAAAAAAGGGATTATGTGAATTCGATTAAATTACAATGGGATGATAATTTGAGATAAATTGAAATACTCATAAGAAATATGTAATGAAATTAGAAAAAAAAGGGATTCATGAATTGAAACATTTCAAAAAAATATATTGTTTTAAATAAATGGATTGTATGTTTCAAATGATTATAGGGTTGATTAGTATCAGAAGGGCTTTTGTGGAGATTGTAGTAACTTCAACAGTTGAGATCATGAGTTGTTTGAAACTAGACCACCATAGAAATAATGAACTACCAACCTTAGATAAATAATAAGATTGAAACTTTTAGTTATATGCCTTATACTTGTTAGGTATGCAGAGGAATATATCAATAATTATCATGTTAAGTCTAACGGTGACCTTGGACTTTAAATGTACACTCCCTATTGGTCGATATTTGTTTCACTTGTTAAATATTGTGTAAATGTTATTTTCTATTTTATGGTACGATGTGGTTTGTTTGTTTGGTATATAAATAGAGTACGTCTGAAATATAATGATTCGTAACTCAGAGGCTGTGACTTGCGTTCTGGACTCAACTGGCTTGGCTAGACAGGGAAGCGGGACCAGTCAGGACACTAGGGTGTCCACTATGTGTTTTCCGTGTCACTGTAATCGATCAATAAAACGCTGCTTATCTTAACGTGCAATCCACACGTTACAACAATACTACAAATCAATTGTCTGGTTTGTACTATCAAACTCAATGAGCCTTGACTACTGATAATTATTTTTGATCCAAAGTAAATTTCGTTGGTGAAATAAGATTATAGTGCTTGTGATAATTTAGTCTATTGGTTCCTAATAGTTTTGATTTCTGATTATCAGCTTAGACAGTCAGTGATAATAATAATGATCAATGGATTAACATTTTCCATTACTTTTCAGTGAGTTTATTTTCAAATTAATGTAATCGATTTTATCAGATACTGAATGACGGGGAATTTTGAACTGTAGTGTAAAAAGTGCCACGAGACTTCTTTATTAAATAAAGTCAATATAATCTACTTTCGAAACACAAACCTAAATGTAAAACAAAATGTGAACATTATGGTGCTTAAATATTTGTAACTCATTTCTATTGGTAAATTGTTTGGCACTTTCAAACAGTTTAATAAAATATGCATCTTGTAGGGAAAAGTAGATGCCTCAGGATTTGAGTTACGTCATGCTAACGAGCGCCAATAAGTGTGAAATACAGCTTTAGGGCATTCTGTTAACTACATTGAACTACTTATTATCTAAAAACAAAGCACACGATATTAAATCAGTCTGACTAGTGTCCACATTACAACCTGATTGATAGAATGTAACCAGTACTCAATCATTGTAAATATCTCAGTTCCACAATAATCCATTCGTAAAGAAATGATTAGTGCTAACATTTCAGACTTCAAAGCTAGATGATGCTAGTTTAAATAACAGAGTAATTATTAGTGAACTCAAGGATACAAAGTTCTCTTTTTAAATAATCTTAAATCTAATATTCCTGAAAGGTTATTTACTTTTCACCGATCAACAAAATATATTCAATTATTCAATTATTTTTTAATAGTTGAGATCATGAGTCAATTGAAGCTAGATCGTCATGAAAAACTTGGAAGCACTGGATGGCCATTTCGTCATATTGTGGCATTCCTCATCAATGCGCGTCTACGATTTCTTTTAAAAAAACTGTTTTAGAAATTATTTGTAACTATTTCTATTTCAATTACATAAATTAGGATTTAAAGTCATGGTCGTAAGTCCGCATTGCTGAGGAGTCTCACAATAGAACGAAACTGTCATCCAGTGCTTCAAAGTTTTCCATGGTGGTCTAGCTTTAATTGACTCATCATCTCAACTTTTGAAATCACTACAATCTTCAGAAAACTCCTCTTAATATCAATTATTTTTCAATGATATCATTTTATGATTCAAATGAAAAACTAAATATGATAACCGGAAATTAACATTGTATTCATTTAATAAATTCTATTGTTTGATTATACAATCAATGATTATATAATTCATTATGAACTGTCAGAATAGATAATAACAAACAGTTTGGAATTCGTGTTCTCATTCATTATTTCTAATCATTTAGAAATTAAACTTTAATAAATTCAACTTAAGGTCATTTAATTAAATAACCTATAATCTTTATAAAACACAATGATTAAACATCTTAATGACATATTAAATTATGATTGATTTAATTTTAATGAAAGCTGAGTAAATACAGATGTAAATTAATTCACTTGATATTGTTTTACTTGAATCTTCCCATTGATATTTAGGACTGAAATTGATCAGTCTCTTAGTGAAATGTGTGCATTCTGTGCCTATTGCCTCGATATCGCCTTAATTTACAAGCATTATAAGCAATGATGGATAGTGGCTAGCAGTGGAATCCAGGATGCGCGTTTCGTCCCATTTGAGACTCGTCAGCTGGAAGTGAATTAAACTTCACCCCATTTCACTAGCAAGTGGCTATCAAGAATCAGTAGCTAAGTGGATAACGTGATAGAGTTTGAAGCGAACGGTACTGGGTTTGAGTCCCAGAATGAACATCAATTCTGGCATGCAGGTACATCCAGCTGACGAGTCCCAAATAGGACGAAACATGCGTCCTGGATTCCACTGCCAACCACTATCCATCCTTGCTTACAGATGTAGATTGTTTTGTAATTATTTTACCATAATTGATTGTAATTCATTTGGTTATGAATCAAAATATAAAAGTAGTTCGATCAAGAAGTGTATTGAAAGAATCTTATAAACGAATTAAATAAAGTCAACAGATATAATTACTTGCCAATCTCCTTTCCGCCCTCTCTCTTTCTCGATATGTGTATATAATACATCCAGCTTTACTTTGGTTACTATACTCTTTAAAAATTAAAACCACACATTGTTGAGATGCACCAACATCTCTATTTATTTAGTCATTTCTTATAATCATTATATGAAACACTAGTTAATTATACCTGAAATTAATTATGTGGAAGCATAATTCAATAGCTTGTTTATGATGAAATTGGATAGTTTTATTTTCACTACTTAGTTTGAATAATGATTATGTAATATTATTGTTTGTTCATCTTAGGTATCATCTAATAGAATAAAATATATTTCAATAGGACAATGAGAAGATGGAGCTGGTCTGAAAAATGTGATGTGTTTGCGCCAAACATTTCGAACAATCTGGTCACGCATATATGAAAATTAATAAAGGCCAATTAAATGAAAGCTCAAGTCAAAAAGGTAACAAACGAAAGAGAGACAATTTTACATCGTATAAAAAGAATAAGAAATTGTCGCATTATCCTAGGCTATAGATTGACTTAAGGATTAACATAGTAGATTCAAGGTTACAACAAATTGTTTTTGTACACATAAGGGGCTTCAAAACAAATTAGTGTCAAATGATCAGATCAACGTGGGAGATAGAAAACCATGTTCATTGATAGCGAAACATATAATTGAAACGGGGCACAAAATTGACATTAATACAGCTTTTAAAACGTTGTATAGAAATTGTCAAGGTCGAATTCTCAAGTTTATTGAATCCTTGGCAATTCGTAAATTTAACCCGCATTATGTGTACAACAACAATTCATCGTTACCTTGAATTCACCCTTGTAATCCTTAAATCAATCTATGGCCTAGGATAACGCGACAATTTCCTATTCTTTTCATAAGATGTAAAATTGTTTCACTCAACTTTGTTATCTTTTACTTGAACCTTCATGTAACTGACCTTTATTAAATTTCATATAAAATGCCCTGACAAGTATATGTGTGAGGAGTCCCATACTATGACGAAACGGCCATCCAGTGCTTCCAGGTTTTCTATGATGGTATAGCTTAAATTAACTCATGATATCAACTACTGAAATTTCTAAAAATCTCTACAAAACCCCTTCTGATATGTGTGATCAGATTGTTCGAAATGTAATTTGTGATACTGACTACTTAAATGACTAATTTCCACATTCACTAATAAACTAATTTGACATATTCTACATAGAACTATAGATGATGTACTCATGTGACACTAGTAACTTAATAGTTATAGAATTGTGGTAAAACTCATTAATTTTGAAATCATACAATAGATTTCTACTTTGAATCTCTTCATATTTATGGTGGATTTATGGTGTAAGATAGATACACATAACCAAAGATTATCTATGGCAATAAGATCACTATGATAACTTTAACTAGGCAGTCTGTAAATGCTACTGATTAGCAACAATCTTATTAATTAGGAAATACATCACTTCCTAATTTATAAGCGTTTTAAATCAAACTACATCGATTAATCGATAGCGAGATACCATATATGTATATATACATATTTGTATATATACAGAGAAAGATAATTAAGGCATTGTGCCATAACAGTTTTAATTGTACTAAATTAAAGAAACGTATAATAATAAAAGAAATTACCTACCGACATGCTGTTTTAATGATTGTCTCAAGTGGTTTACGCCAATGTTGCATATTGGATTTTCTTGAAGAATCCATAACAATTCCATTATCACTAGCTAAATGTTCAACATCTTCATATTCTGGCAGTAATCTGATATTTTTTACATTAATGTGAACACTAATCCCAGAAGGATATGCCTATTAAAATAGAAAATGAATTGAATAAATGGTTGATTTTATTTCTATATACTTTATTTTCGCACATTTACAAACATGCAAAATACAATTTAGTATGAATGCAAATATAAAGTTAAATAATTTCGAGATTCTTGGTAACAATGCTGAAAACAACGTGGAACTTTTGGTAGATCCTCTTTTTGTAGTTTCCGAAACCCGTATGTAAAACCATTCTTCAACTATAAACAAAACAGTCCTTACAATGCCATAGCAGAGTTAATAGGGTTAGAAATACTTAATGAAATCAGTAACACCACTTAGATCTGCTCTGTCATTCCCTAAGCTTTACAATTATCACAATTGTCTGTGAAAGAATTGGTTGTTCAATTCGTTTATGATTGTCATGTATATACCTTTTATTTGGTTATTAAAACAGGTCGTCTTAATTATATCTTAAATTCAAATACTTGTAAATCGGTAAATTTGACACTAAATCTCATCTACTTTCTAGACTTCCTAAGAAATAGTTTTTTCATATCAAAAGGACTTTGTGGATATTATAGTAATTTCAATAGTTGAGATCATGAGGAGACCCACATTAGGACGAAACGGCTGTCCAGTACTTCCACGTTTTCCATGGTGGTCTAGCTTCAATTGACTCATGATCTCAACCATTGAAACAATTTTTTGTCATAACTACTATTTAAGTATTTAACCTAATTTTTAGAAGAAAGTACTTTCAAAACAATCTCTGAATAAATATATTTTAGTATTAATATGTACATTTGATGTTTTATCTGAAAGCGATTGCATTACTTATATTTAGATTTATAAGAAAACCGTTACATGAAGTTATATTCAATTCATTATGTCCTTAACTATACAATATCGCGAAATATGATTGCCAAATTTAAATACTCTGACTTATACGATCAAACTAATTACGCATACACCAGTACGAGTAGCCCAAAGTATCGGTCGGTCCTTTCTCCGTCTAGCTCTGCCTGTTAAGTTCAAAACACCAACCTCAGCTGCTGCGATACAAATAATAAATTTCAAACATACTTGATTTATGTATATGCAAAATCAGACCATATCACACCATAAAATAGAAAGTAACATTTGAACAACATCAAACGAAAAATGGTTGTGAGTATGAAGAACTGTGACCAATAGATTGAGAATAAATTAAGAATAGTAAATTATATAACAGTAACCAATAAGTCAATTAAGAGCTTATAATAAGAGGAATATAAACATGTATAGTTCTGTCACTTAACAATTATACAATAGAAATATATATACAGTATTTGTCCACAAAGAGATCCCAACAGTTACCATTCATTATTCCCGTCGGGATATAACACATTGGATGCATAGTGATGAAGTAAAAACCATCTAGTGATTTATACATTGTTAAAGGGGAAAAATGACATATGTTATAACGGCAGTATACATTATAGTGGCTGGTTCTATGTCGAGCCCACATAACTTATTCTAGCTTCTGGACAGGTCAATTTATCCATTTTTCTTGAGTCATATTTTGACTTTGTTAATCATTTGCTTATCAACCTTGACTGTTTTTATATGAGTGTTTGTGTATACAATTCTTATTCTATTGGTCACATGTCTGTAACTTATTTTTGTGTGATTATAAATATCGTTTAACGCTTGATTAAATGGAGTTGGTTCACACGCCTTCTCCATTGAGCGTCATTTTGTTTCGTTTCGCTGTTCATTCTTCGCATAATTTGCTGCGATTCTCTGATTCTCTGATCTGATCAACGAGTGTAAAAAATATGACTCAAGAAGAATAGGTAAATTGGCCTGTCCAGATGCTGGAATAAGCTATGTGGGCTCGACAAAAGACCAGCCATTACAACATGATTAACCAGGTTTTTTTATATGATGAAAATTGTAATTTAACCGGAAGCAAAACTAAAACCATTCATTTTCTTAAACACAAAAAAAGAAAAAGGAATGGATTATATTAATTCACCAGTCAATGAAAAAACAAGAGAAATAAATATCCCAACTATTGACGAAACTTTTGAAAAATTGGAAACAGTGGTTTTTATAGATCACTATATTACAATCAAAACTCCGCCTGGAGTCCCTTCGGGGGCTACTGCCGGTCCCAAGCCCGGATAAAGGAGGAGGGTTGGGCATGGGGTTAGCGTCCCCATCCCGTAGAAAACTAACTCGCTAAAAAAACGCTAACCAGAAAAAATTATTCAAACCTTTTAAACTCTGCCCTGGGAGTCAGAAGATCTTCATTTAGAAGAATTATGACGCCTCATGATGAAAGCCGAAACCCTTCGGAAGTTACGAGGCCAATAAGTTCCAGGCCTTTCATGATCTACTCAATGGAGAAGGAACTACTGTGGAGAGCAACTGGAAGGGGATCAAAGAGGCAATCACTTCAACATGTCATGAGGTCCTGGGTCACAAGAAGCACAATCACAAGGAATGGATCACTGTTGGTACACTGGATAAGATTCAAGAAAGGAGGAACAAGAAGGCAGCGATCAATACCTGTCGAACAAGAGCAGAAAAAGCCAAGGCACAAGCTGAATACACGGAAATAAACAAACAAGTGAAGAGGAGCATCAGAACCGACAAACGTAAATATGTGGAATATTTAGCAACGACGGCGGAAAAGCCTGCAAGAGAAGGAAACATGAGACAATTGTATGACACGACAAAGAAACTCTCTGGAAATCGCCACAAACCAGAACGATCAGTGAAAAGCAAGGAAGGCAAGGTAATCACCGACATTGAAGAGCAACAAAAGAGGTGGGTAGAACATTTCAAAGAACTGTTGAATCGACCAGCTCCACTGAACCCACCCAACATCGAAGCAGCACCCACGGACCTCCCAATCAACGTTGGCCCACCAACAATTGAAGAAATCAGCATGGCCATCAGACAAATCAAGAGTGGCAAAGCAGCAGGACCGGACAACATCCCAGCAGAGGCACTAAAAGCAGACGTAGCGGCAACTGCAAGGATACTCCACATTCTCTTCAATAAGATTTGGGATGAGGTACAAGTACCAACAGACTGGAAAGAAGGACTACTGATCAAAATACCGAAGAAAGGCGATCTCAGCAAGTGTGATAACTACAGGGGCATCACTCTTCTCTCAATACCGGGCAAAGTCTTCAACAGGGTATTGTTAAACAGGATGAAGGACTGCGTAGACGCCCAACTTCGTGACCAACAGGCAGGATTCCGTAAGGATAGATCATGTACAGACCAAATCGCAACTCTACGGATCATTGTGGAACAATCAATTGAATGGAATTCATCACTCTACATCAACTTCATTGACTACAAAAAGGCATTTGATAGTGTGGACAGAACAACATTATGGAAACTTCTTCGACACTACTGTGTGCCTCAGAAGATAGTCAATATCATACAGAACTCATATGATGGATTACACTGCAAAATTGTGCATGGAGGACAGTTGACAAAATCGTTCGAAGTGAAGACCGGTGCCAGGCAAGGTTGCTTACTCTCACCCTTTCTCTTTCTCCTGGTGATCGACTGGATCATGAAGACGTCAACGTCTGAAGGGAAGCACAGGATACAATGGACATCTAGGATGCAGCTGGACGATCTAGACTTCGCAGATTATCTGTCCCTTCTATCCCAAACGCAACAACAAATGCAGGAGAAGACGAACAGTGTGGCAGCAGCCTCAGCAGCAGTAGGTCTCAATATACACAAAGGGAAAAGCAGGATTCTCCGATACAACACAGCATGCACCAATCCAATCACAACTGACGGAGACGATTTGAAAGATGTGAAAACCTTTACGTATTTGGGCAGCATCATTGATGAACAGGGTGGATCTGATGCAGATGTGAAGGCGCGGATCGGCAAAGCAAGAGCAGTATATTTACAACTGAGGAACATCTGGAACTCAAAGCAACTGTCAACCAACACCAAGGTCAGGATTTTCAATACAAATGTCAAGACAGTTCTACTGTATGGGGCAGAAACCTGGAGAACTACAAAAGCCATCATCCAGAAAATACAGGTGTTTATTAACAATTTTCTACGCAAAATACTTCAGATCCATTGGCCGGACACTATTAGCAACAACGTACTGTGGGCGAGAACAAACCAGATCCCAGCGGAGAAAGAAATCAGGAAGAAGCGCTGGAAGTGGATAGGACACACATTGAGGAAAGCACCCAACTGTGTTACAAGACAAGCCCTCACATGGAATCCTGAAGGTCAAAGGAAAAGAGGAAGACCAAAGAACACATTACGCCGGGAAATGGTGATAGACATGAGAAAAATGAACAAGAATTGGATGGAACTAGAAAAGAAGGCCCAGGATAGAGTGGGTTGGAGAATGCTGGTCAGCGGCCTATGCTCCATTGGGAGTAACAGGCGTAAGTAAGTAAGTAAAGTAAGTATATTACAATCAAACAAATTTGAGTTAATAATCAAATATAATGTAATATCTCTTTTGTATGTTTATTTCAACAATATTATATATCAGTATGGGTTTTTGTGGATATGATAGTAATTTTAATAGTGGAGATCATGAGTTAATTAAAGCTGGAGTAACATGGAAAAACTGGAAGAAACGGACGTTCATTTCTTTTTAGTGTGGGCCTCCTCAGCAGAACGCATCTATGATCCTGCTTTGCGAAGTTCAAACTCAGGATCTATCAGTCTCGCTCGCGAACACTTAACCACTAGACCACCGAGACGGCCGGTATCCAATGTTTAACTTCAACTAATCCACAAAATTGAGTGACACATCCACAAATGTCTTTATTGAGTTACTATCTCACAACAGACCCGGGTAAACTCCACTGGTTACTGCTTCTCACTAGAACTCCAGGAAATATCTCTTGAAGCCGGTCCTTAATGAGCATATGTTGAAATATATATTTATATATTCAGTGAACATCAAAGGCAATATTTAATATTTCATAACTTTATCTTTCTGGTTGAATAAACTTTGCCTGTTTTTTTTATCCTACTGCATCCAACTC